TAAGAAGTGGGTTCAATTTTAGATTATCCATATCTATAATTGAATCCACCATCTTTAATTTCTTGTATTTTCTTTTATTCTAGAATTTTGTTCTTTATTCTTGATTTTTCATTTGTTTCTTGATTTTATTCATTTTTTTTCTTCTTGCCTTATTGATCACACTCATTCTTTGTCACATCCACTCTCACTTAAATTTTGCGCCGTTTCACACACTATCACTTTCACTCTCATTATCTCTCCACAATCACATTCACTTATCACTCCTATTTGTCACGCACACAAAATAAGAACCAATTTTATATTTTCTCCTACAAAACACCTTCCTCGTGGGATCGATATCTTAAATACTATAACTTGACACGGTTGTGCACTTGCAACCTTTTTGGTACATGTTTATGCCGTATCACAAGAGGATACGTAGGCGGTCAGTTTGATGTAGCCAATTTGATGAGTTGATACCGATACGGTGGAGATCCTTGTTAGAGTTCTTATTTTGGTTCCTGACTTGTTGTGGATTGAGTCTGTTGTTGTGGATTGACTATACTTTTTACTAGACTCAACAAGTGGGATGATTGGTATTGAGGTCAGCTCAGTTTTTGGGAAAAACTTCACCGAGGTTGTAGGTGTAAATTTTGATCTTCCGAAAACAGGGAGTTTCGTTTGTATTAATAAGAAGGCTTATTACAAACTAATAAATCAAATGTTTACAACAGAAGCAGAGGGAATGCCCTCTTTGTTTTGTGTGGGGTCTTTAGGTGGCGATAGGACGCCTCGCTCGGTGCTCGTGCCGAGTCTGCTTCCCTTGGACGATCCGATCGAAGTTGCTGGAGAGCTTCAGTACGCAGTAGAAGCTCGAGTCGATAGAATTCGGATCTTCTAGTTCACCGGCGATCGGGGCTCAGAACTAGGAAGTGGCGCTGCAATGCAAAAGTGATGCAGAGAGCTTGTCGTCGACTCCGTTGGGAGTCGAGAGCCAGTGGTTCAGTTAACTGATTGAATTAATCAATTAACTATGTGTGAACCCCTTTCCTGTAGCCGGGCGAGGTTCTTAAATAGAGGAGAGATGGCGTGGCCGCTCCTTGAATCATGGGATGTGACCATACATTGTTGAGAGACATCTTGCTGTTCATCTGTACCATGAGTGGTCATTCGAGGAGTCGTGTTTGGCATCACGTCAAGTAGGAGCGGGAAAGCCCATCCTCGTATGTGTGACGACGGTTGTCAGATACTCGAGTGGATCTGACCAACCACCGAGCGCCGGCGGCTCTCACCCTTCGCTTGGACAAGTGAGGTGAGTCGCATTTATGAGGGTGCAGGTTGATTTGGCGTTTGTCTGACCACTTGTACCGTGAGCGGCTATTCGGCGGGCCTGGAGCACCGTGTCTTCTCTCTTCAGGTCGAGAGAGGTGGGAAAACGGGTTCCAGGTACTCGAGTGGGCTTAGACAGCTCGCCGGGTGCTGGCGGATCCGACTCTTGACTCAGACAGCCGAGGTGAGCTGCATTTATGAATGTTCAGGTCGACTTGACACCTGCCCAATCATTCGTACTGTGAGCGGCCGCTTGACGGTCTTGGGGTACTGTGCCATCTCCCTTGATTTGTGGGATTTGACCACTGATGTAACTGTTCCCATACTCCAAGTGGGCAGTTGACAGTGAGCTGGCGAGTCTGCAGCTTGGGTCTGCAAGCGAGCTTGGGACTGCAGGCAGACTTGGGTCTGCAGGCTGGGTCTGCAGGCGAGCTCAGGTGTGCAGGCAGACTTGGGTCTTGATCGTGCAGGCGAAATTCGAGCTGAAGGCGAGCTCTTGAGCATGGATCGAAGAATAGGCCGTAACTTTCAAACCGTAAGTCAGAATTGGACGAATTATATATGAAAATCGCCTATCTTGACGAGATGGAGCCATCCGAACCAAGCCTTCGCTTCCTCCGTTTCACCAAATTCCTTACGGTTTGGGAGATATCTGCGTTTTTCCCCTTTTTTGCTATTTCGGGCGAGGTTTTAGCAGTTTTATTCTGAACTTCTCTGATAAGGATTTAAAGGCAATTTTTATTGCCTACACAACCCCCTCCAAAGTTTTCAGACCTGATTCGGGCCGCATGGGGTCTGGAACACTTTGGATATGAAGACCCGTAAAGTGATCCCCGCTCAGATGGAGTGAGGAGCCCTCCGACGAGCTCGGTGAGCTGACCTCTTCGCTCGCAGCTGATGATCGCCTTCTAGGATTTTGAGCAAACCCTCAGCTATCAACGGACTTGATTTGTCTTTACCAACTGCCGTTTGAGTTGGACTAGCCATGCTCTTGCCCTTAGCATGGTAAGTTATCGAGGAGTTTCTCTTCAACGGACTTGATTCGTCTTTACCAACTGCCGTTTGAGTTGGACTAGCCATGCTCTTACCCTTAGCATGATAAGTTGTCGAGGAGTTTTTCTTAGGCTCAATGCTAAAATTTCTCCTCTATCCTTAGCCTTTCGAGGCGTTTGGATTAAGAACGTAGGGAGCAGTTTAACCTCGTATACCAGTCGGAGGGTAGGAGCAGTTTAGACTCATGCACCAGTTGGAGTGAAGGAGCAGTTTAGCCTCTTGCACCGGTTGGAGGAAAGGAGCAGTTTATACTCTTGCACCAGTGGGAGTATAAGGGGGCAATTTAGACTCATGCACCAGTTGGAGTAAAGGAACAGTTTAGCCTCGTGCACCGGTCGGAGGGTAGGAGCAGTTTAGACTCATGCACCAGTTGGAGTGTAAGGGGGCAGTTTAGACTCATGCACCAGTTGGAGTATAAGGGGACAATTTAGACTCATGCACCAGTTGGAGTAAAGGGAACAGTTTATACTCGTATACCCGTTGGAGTCTAGGGGGAAGCTTATCTTCTCTTAGGGCAAAGATGAAGACGAACACTGATTTGTCTTCTCTTGAGGCAAAGACGAACCCTGAAATAGTAGCACATCACATAGTAGGCCACTATCAAACAACAACGCCTTTTATGGGAAAGACGGTGCTGGGAGAATCAAATCGTTCAGGGACGTATGAGTATGACGACTGATCGGACAACGTCATTTGCGAGAATGACGGTGTCGGCTATCAGAGGTAATCGTTAACGTGATAGGAATTGCCGCGATCGGAGCGACTTTGAGGACCTACCATCCTTTTGAAGAGGATTGGTAAGTTGATTTTGTCAGAGGTGACCGTTAACATGACAGTGGGAGTTTATTGCGATTTGAGCAACTCTATGGACCTACCATCCTATTGAAGAGGACTGGTAAGTTGATTTGTCAGAGGTAACTGTTAACGTGACAGTGGGGGTCCCGCCATCCTATTGAAGAGGATTGGCGGGGGATTGTGGCTTTGGTCCTAACTATCTGAAGGTTTGACCAAGTGGGAGTTTGATGCAGCCCACCTGAACTGCTAGTCTCGCCTGTTTTGAGCGGTTCGCCACAAATGGAAACCTGGCTCAAGAAGTGGGGCTCGACTAACTGTTAGGCTCGCCTGATTTGAGCGGTTCGCCGAAACTGGGAACCTGGCTCAAAGAGATGGGCTCGCCTAAACTGTTAGGCTCGTCTGTTTTGAGCGGTTCGCCATAACCGGGAACCTGGCTCAAGAAGTGGAAGTATAGGGAATAGTTTAACCTCTTATACCAGTTGGAGGATCAGAAGAAGCAGTTTATACTCGTGTACTTGTCGGAGTGTTTGAGGATTATCAGAGGTGATTGTTAACGTGATAGCTTTGTGGACCCGCCGTCCTGTTGAAGAGGACTAACGGGGGAAATTTGGAGGAGACTATCAGAGGTAATAGTTAACTTGATAGTTTTAAAAAATCCATCGTCAAGTTAAATGAGACTGATGGAGAAATGACTATCATAGGTAACAGTTAACTTGATAGTTTTGTGGGCCCGCCGTCCTATTGAAGAGGATCAACGGGGGAAATTTGGAGGATATGAGGAAATGGTCTCCACTACCAAGACATCTTGGTCATCATCTCCTCGAAATTCATGCGGGTCTTCGTCACCCATATGCTTGAGCATGCTCTCGACTTGTTCTCCTTGGCGGAGTAAGTCTTTTTAAAAGCATCCTCAGATTGCTTCTAAAAGAACTCTCTTAAAAGCAGAAACAATTTCATTAAGTATGTCAAAAAACTTTTCACCAAACATCATTATCTTGTGCTTATTGAAAAAATAAGCAGAAGCACCCTTAAAATAGCAATATGAAACTGTTCGTAGTAACCTGTAACTTACAGGATTGCACCAACTATTACTTATAAAATAATCCCAGTAACCTCGAAGTACCAGAACAGGTTCATTGTGCATATAGCAATATTAGCTATGCATACTCTTGTATTTACTGAACAAATCAATGTATCATTATTTCCATCATCACCTCAATCATCCTTGGAGTATAAGAAGAAAAGGTAGGGACACACAGAAAACCAAATGTTCTTCCTGATTGAAGAAAAACGACAATTAAGATTTTATGTTGCAAGATGAGGCCAAAACAATCTTCAGCATTCTGCCATAGAAACACTTTTCATGGAGACATTTGTTTACACAAGGGAAAATTGACCCCTTTTGACCACAACCAAATAACAAAAAAAGGTTATAATTGAGTTTTAAGTATTTAATTATTTCAGGAAACCAATCCCGAGAATAAATTCATTGGGCTAGGATCCAATTTGGTATTGTCTTATGCACACAATGCAAGAACACATGAATTCTCCGCACACCCAGAAAATGATAGCAAACCTAATTGACAAGGCTGATGCTTATCTGGACAGATAATTTCAAGAGCCTCGCTCTGTTTTTTGTGAGGCTCAGACACCGTTTGGTGTCAAAATTTATATGTACGTTTCTTAGTGTTGTCATGCATGAAACAATTAAATCTTAACCCGCAGCTACTCCAATCACACAAATGAATAACATAGGAAGAATTTTATTCAGGTTAAGAACTAATTAAATAGGATTAGTCAGGCAAGATTGAATGGAACAGAACTCGATTTAAGACTTCTCATCTGATTATATGAGCCATTGCTGACAAGCCTACAAATGTTAAGTAAAAAAACCAAAATAATCGGGGTCTGCCGGTGAAATCTTCAAGCAGCCAAATTACTAAACCAGCATATTTGAGGCAGATCAAGAGAGCTCCACAGTGATGAATCATCATCGTTGCTCGTATAAGAAGAATAAATAGGAGGAGGAGGAGTTGGAGAAGGGGATTCTAAGTGAAATGGGCTTTGTCGGTTCTCCGATTGCACTTGCTCCTCCATCTCAAACATCTGCTTCTTCTTATTGCAGGAGTTGCTAAGCTCCCGCAGATGATCACCTACGTCCCCACTTCTTCTACTCAAGCACTCTGATATACCGTTAAGAGCATAGAGAGAAGCCGAGATCCTTCTCTCATACTTCATCCTCTTAACAGCGGGCACATACATCAATGACTCCTCCCCAATCTCCATTGAACCAACGGCAACCTCTTCTGCAATCTCGAAAGGCGAATAAAGGCCATAAAGCCCCTCCTCGTTTTCAACAAACCCGAAATCCATAGGCCCCAATCTTTCATACTCCTCCTCAGACGAACCTCCCGGGCTTCCTTCTTCTTGTTCAGCACAACTAGCTTCCACGAATCGGCCGCAAACGTAGCTATCCTCAACGCTACTATAAGTAGGACTACTGCCACCACTAGTAGTAGCAGTCGTAGCTGCAAGAGCGGGGGTAGTAGAGAAAAGGCTTTCATCATTCAAGAAATCAGAAAATCTGAATTCGTCTATGGCGCCAAAATCCGAACTGCTGTACAGTTGCTGCTGCGGCACTTGCTGGCGTTGAAACTCAGTTGAGGTGGCAGAGAAATCTATAGTGGTAGTAGGAGGAGGAGAGGGAACAGTAGTACAACTACCACTACTATTTTTAGTTGGAGAATTTCTGGCTTTGAGCCTCGAGAGGAGGCTGGAAATTTTTGGAGGGGGGAGCGAGGCCAGAAGTTGGTGCGGTACTTGGCACGCGCGAAGGAGACAAGCGAGCCTCGTCATAGCACGGGCGCCTCGGCGGTGTCGAAAGTTCCGAGCCAAACGCGGATTTTTTGTATGGTGTCCTTGATCTCCGCCACCCATCGACCTGAGGGGCGCTGCCGAACCCCTACGTAGCGCTTCCCAGGTCTCCTCGGGGCTCCGTCCCATTCGGCCGGAATAGTATATGATATTTGGTTTCCTTGGGGTTCACGAGCGCTCTTCCTCTTGCTCCCCATCTCTGTTTTCACCTCTTGTTGTGTTATGTTCGATGCTATGGTTTCTATGCAGGGAGGACGGGGGTATTTATAGGCAGCGGGTGAAGAGAAGGTTTGGGAATATCCGAATGGTTCTTCTCGATTTGATGCCCCTTATTTCACCACGGGGGACAAAGTGGGAAAAAAATGTTGCCCAAGATATTACTTGGCTCCTCGTGACCAACTCTGATAAAACATAGGTCAGTGTATTAAGAACTTGGTTTTGAAACAATATGCTCTAAGCTTCGTTGTTTTTTTACCTAGCATCCTATTGCTTTGATGGGGGGGAAACAATAAGCGTGATAACACCTCTCAAGCAAAAGCATACAAGGTCATAAACTGATAGAACATTGTTATTTAAGTATCCGAAGCAGAAATATCTGGATACATATATATCTTGTATACACAGCAAGCTATCTCATAATCTGAAACTCCGTGGTTAAAATTTCTCTTTGCCCTCAAGTTCAATTATGTCAACAACAAAAAAAAAAGAAACCCACCCACAGAAATAAAGTACTGATTTCGCAATATATCAAATTTTAGATGACACCTTGAGTTTTATTTCTCAAGATATTTGCATCAACATTCATCAGTTAAAACTTCTAGCGGTCTGCCCGTTATGCCATCCCTTACTACTTGGTAGAAACT